GATCATCGCACGAAGAATTTGGTAGAACAGCGATTATTTGATATCGTATTTAAGGCTGACGCAGAATATTTTAGTAAACAATGAACAATATGGTTACTACACAAGTCAGTCCCAAAATTATTATAAAACACGGCCAGAAACAGCTACACTGGATCAGATTTATTCATCAGCACACTCCCGGCCAGCAGGTAGTACCTGTGAAGCTGGTATTAGTCAAAGCAGTCCAAGCGGATCGCAGTACAGCGCGGATTCTTTTGATGTCGATGATTTCGTTTAATTATACTTCTTATATTATTTTTTAAATTTGTATGGAACCTATTATTAATAAAACATTTCTTACCTTCACATTGTCTTTCAGTCCATTGATAATAGCTTGACAGACTTCTGGGATAAATTTGCTGATTGCCTGTTTTGAGATTTTAAATAAGTATTGCATGCTTGTGAAACTATCACCCGTAGCTAAAAATCGTAGCGTTAATGCTAATTTATCTTGAGCCGATATAGCTTTTCGAAATTTTGTGTCTTTTTTTTTTTGTATAGCCGGTACAACCAAATTATACAAATAATCAAAATTAGATGAAGACATTCGCATGAAGTTTTTATAATGGCCACTTAATTCTTGAGATTTGAGTTCCAACACCAATGAATTCGGACGTCTTTTCTTGAAAATATCAGATTCCCAAAAGCGAGGAGGGCTTCTATAGTCTTCGAGTAGATAATGAAATAAAATATATGCTGCACTAGCCACTAATGGTGACGACATGTTCGCTCAATGTTCACAAGAGGACTGTGGAGCATGCATGTTCCTATGCGCGTACCCGTCTCCATCAGAGCGGTTACGGGAGCGCGGAGCGCAAGAGGTTCGCGAACGTAATGGATACCTTTACATACTATGAAATGTACGGCGAACCCTTAGCCCCTGACCTACAACGATTGATGACTGACGCTAACACTGACAGAGATAATATTGTCATTTTTATATTTCAGGACACAAAGTACAACGTATGTTTTGAATGTGCTCTGCCTTTGAAGAGTGATAAGAAGTTATGCACCTTATGCAAAAATGTTTCTTTCTGTACCACTGCCTGTATGAAATTAAATATAAATAGAATAGATTGCCACCCATGTAGCGATTATTTAAGAAAACAGTATTTTACTAATTCCAACGATCAAGTTTACGTCGAATGACATCACTTATTTGATTTAAGTATATAAATTATCACGTATTTAATATACATAAATTTTTAGCAGTTTTACTTTCTTTTGTTAACTTTATATTTTTATTCAATAAAATTAATTTTACGGACTTTATTGCTTTTAATTTTAAGATATTTTTACTTTTAATTAGCTCCTGAACTCATATCCCTATGGTAGGGTTGGCTAACCTTTATGTATCAACGTGCCATTTTTCTAAAGAAATGTTTAATTAAGCTATAGACGTGCCGCAGAAAAATCATGACTTCGTGATTACCGCTGCGCCCCCGAACACTCCGTAGCGTAGGATCACTCGCGTTCGTTCGTAATATAATAACTTCATAGTGAACTTTGTGATCGGTGGCCTGCCCAAAATATTAAGTCGCATGCTATCGATGGCACCCGTGCCATTGGTTCGCCATCCCTGCTCTAGGGTGTCGTAAGAGGCAACATAAGGAAACAAACCAGGAGATGTTCAGCAGCGTCGTCTGCGAAACGTTGCACCTATAACAAATATTCCTCCTATGAGGCATATGGGGGAGGTCTATGTTCAGCAGTAGAATTTTGATAGGCTTTAACGGTAACGGTATATATACGAAATCATCGTTAGTGATATCAAAAAATTTGAAAATTATCACTTTGACAGGATAATTATTCTGGTGGATATTTGCGGAAAGCGGATTACGGTTTCTTTATTTTCGTTTAAATATAAAGATTTGAAGTTGATTTTGATACGTAGTCTATTTAAGTGAAAAAAAAAAACTATGGGAAGTCGTGCTATGTCAGCCTTTTGAGTATATGCTCTAAGTATGATGGTATTTTATTACTTTTATTTTATTTAAATATGTAGTTTTAAAAGGGACTATTTTATTCAATATGTTTGGATTTATTCTTGGACAAAATACCATATTCATGATTTATCCCTTTAGTGAATGTACTCAGTGATTTTATTAATCTTGTATTAAATAATTTAAAATACAAACGATGACGATGATGACATTATCTCAAGTTCTGAAGGTTAGGTGCGCACAAATTAGCCTGAGATTTATATCATCATCAGAGCACTTATTTCGTCGTTTCCACTAGTTCATATATTCAGTTTGACACACAAAATCATATCACTTTTACTGATCAAAATCCACTTCAAACTATATTTAAATAATAAAATAAGCAACATTCTACCGGCGGTCAAGTTCCCTCCTAAACCTCCAAACATGTTCTTAATCTAAGGTCATGGGCCATGACTCATGGCGAGATGTCATTGCCTTATGGTGGCACTTCACATGGCTATTTGTATTTGCGTATTGCTGTATTTGACAAATAACTTCCATGTGTGGAGAGTATATTTGCCATACTTATTGCCGTATTTGCCTATTTGGAAAATATAGCCAATAACAAATACGCATTGAGTTATATGTACTACGTACTAGAGAAGCCATTCCGAACATTGACTATGTTCAACTGAACTGTAGTGCAGTCCATACAAACTAAATATTGCATAAATTGACAATTTGTGAATTCCATAAAATAATAATTATTACATTTTATTTAGAAATATGTTTGTTTAGATTAAATTAAGATATTTTATATTAAATTCTTATATTTATTTTATATTAATATCTTATTTTTTATCAAATTAAAGTCTTCGCTCATGCGCGACTACTACTACCGCGCATGCGCGAAGACATAGAGGAGGACACAATTTTTGTTTGGAATGGCTTCTCTAATACGTAGTACATATAACTCAATGCAAATACGGCTTACCGATCGTCTGTCGGTTTTTCAAGGCTCATCAAAGGAGACAAATAGGCAAATACGCAAATATATATATGGTCGGGCTCATAAGCGCGCGAACTGTCAACTAGTACAGACGGACCTGTTTATACATATTTATTATTCAACATATTTTAATCGACTTGTTTATTGAACATTTTTAACATAAAATTTAAATTATTATTGAACATTCGTCCAATACCCGAACACTAACCTCTTCATAAGTGAATATTTAGGTACCTACGGAAAATGAATTGGGACAAAGAAACCGTTTTAAGGTTTATAGAACTTTACCAAATGAACCCATACATTTGGGACCCTGGAAACGAGGGGCAAAAAATATAATAGTAACATGCGTTCAAATAATAAAATCCAGCTGCAAGTGCAACGTCCATTTAGTACAACATGTACATTTGGTACAACTACTTTCTGCTAGCAAACATGTTTCATTTTTTGGTATTTGGCTCCATGTGTGGACGGTTGTATCGCTTATTTGCCCGTACGTCAAATTTTTTGCCAAATACGGCAACATGCAGTCACAAATACAAATAGCCATGTGAAGTGCCACCATTAAACTATCTTTTGGATTATACCAAAAGCTTAACCTCATATAATCAACCTATTAAAATAATTTATAATCCCTGCGTTATGCTCTCATTAAAGTTTCCTAGAAGCTTCGTAATATAACAACACAACCACCTATTGCAAACAAATTCAGACTAAGCGGAGAGGACGATTGGGCATGGCAGCATGGATCCCTTTGCCTTTAATATTTAAAAAAAATGTTCCTTCTGAGTAGGGATGCTCGATTTTTTGTTTTGAATCGATCTATTGGATCCTAATGGATCGTAACCTCGTGAATCGATACACCAAATCGCATCGTAATTTTATAAAAATAAAACCACAGTATACGTGCAAAATTGTTTAGCTATCGACATTTAAACTGTTCAAAAATAATAATTTTGACAGCCACACTGGATCTAGCCTATTACGGATAATTTTTTCTAAAATAAATGTAGCGTAAAAATCAGACCAGCTGTTTTTGAGATTAACCGAAACAAACAGACAGACAGACAAAAATTTTAAATCTTTTACTTTTTATTATTAGTAACGTATATAATAAAAATATGTTATTTTGACATTACAAACCGCCACTTTAATTTCATTTATTTGTATAAAAGATATGTAGATACTTACGCTTCGGCAATTGCTGTAGTAGAACTTTCTTCACTTTTGCTCAGTTCAGAATAAGTGTATATGATGTCTGAGGTGATTTTTAAAATTGGTAGTATTTCCACTAGTTTTAACCATATGTTTACACATTTAATATTGTTTACCCATGTCACATTTGATAAAAAAACGCAAACGTTTGATTTGGTCGGCGGGGCCATATTTAAAAGTATTTTAAAATAATAGTTTACGCTCACAGAACAGCTCAACTTTTCGTATCGCAATAATACTAAGATTGAAAGATCATAGAACACTAACATAGGTACCCGATAATAAAATAAACAAAATATTATAATACCTACCTTCATATTTTATACATTACCGCTTTTGATGTAACTCAAAGCTACTCTTCTTTAAAGTGTCGATAGATAATTCATTTCTTTTATTTATTCTGTCCCTTCCCCGGTAATACGATAGGTATGCGAAAATCGGTTAGTACATTACGGTTCGGTTGATGTTTAGGTTTTAATTGATACGATTTTTTCATACGATATTACAGGAATACGAATCGATCTGGGTGAAGATCGCATTCCCTTGAATCGATTCAAAAATCGGTGGATCGTGTGGACGTGAATCGATCTTTCAGAAAATCGATCCAGATCGGGCATCCCTACTTCTGAGCTTTTGATTTTGACATCAATCAAATTTTTAACAAATCAAATTAATCACAAAAATACGCGGGAATTGATATCTATAATCAAAGAGTTTTAAATCACTATTTGAATCATTTATTTTTAAAATTAACGAGATTTTGTAAGTTTATGAAAGTTTTATATTTTACACCGTTAATTAAAATCACACAAATGGCTACAGCTGCAAAGAAAATTAAATTGTCTTCATCATCATCAAGTGATGAAAACAAAACAAGCATTACAGATTTTATGAACGAGATACAAAAGAAACGGGAGGATACAGCGGAATCAATTTTAAACTTTGATTTTAATAAAAAACGTGTGCGTATTATTTCTCAAGAACAGCTGGTGCCAGACTATTGCGAAGGCATTGTTTACTGGATGTCCAGGGACAGTAGAGTTCAGGATAATTGGGCATTTCTATTCGCACAAAAACTAGCCCTTAAAAACGAAGTTCCGCTTCATGTATGTTTTTGTTTGATTGCAAAATATTTGGATGCCTCAGTGAGACAGTTTCATTTTTTAATTAAAGGTAAAGTAGCTGTTGAAAAATTCAAAAACTACCTAAACAACACACAAAATAATCCTAGTTACATATCAATTCCTCACCTTATGATTATAATGGTATCAGTGTAAAGTTAAAATGCCTGTAACCGTTTACCACTATGCTGATGAACCATTACAATAAAAGATACTTTTACAAATTTCGTTATTGTACAGGAAACTCCTTTTCCTTTAAGGTCAACTCGGCGTAGACCGGCATACTAAATTTAAAAAAATACAAATGGTCTTAGTTTGGCTATTCTATAACCTTAAATTTAAATTTGGTTAAACTAAATAATAACATATTTAGTTGATCTGACAATAAATATGTCAAAATGACAAAAAGACCACCGGTTCAGAAAAAACAACATTTTTGAAAACACAGTGAAATAGACGGATTTGGCGATTTTCCCTAGTTAGCGGTAGTTGGCGTAGTTACAGATACGAATGCCTGTGTGAATGAATGTGTATACGAATACCAGTTCCTGTAACAACTTAATATTTGTACCCTAACTCTCAGAAATAAGGTTTTATATTGCGAGATACTGCGTTTGTCAGGTAAGACCGGCATGCTTTGCAGTTCCAGGGGTGCAAAACCTTGAATAATAACCAATGCTTTTTAATAGTAAGTAAAGTTTTATTCAAAGATATCAATAGTTATACTTGCTAAATTAAATCAGAAATGTTTTTTGTATTGTGCTTAGTATTAAAACGACGAGATCCAAAATCGTAGGAAAGTAATAAGCTAAGAATCTATTCTTAAGTAAAGGCTTAAAGACACCAAAGGATGACGATTTCTGTAAGTGGCGAAGACCGGCATATGACATTTATTACCCTCCAAGACCTAGACGGACTTACCTGCAACATATTTTGAAATTAGTTTTTATTTTCATCAAGCATAACTTAGTAAAAAACGTGTATAATACTAATGTATTTACTTATCAAATAGATATCTTAATGAAGAATAAACTTACTTGCATAAACCTGTCAAATAATTGAGATTTAAACACATAACTTTTTTTGTTAGAATGTGGTACACTCCCAATGCAAGGTGCTCACCGTACTAAATAAACAACGGCACTTTTTTCTGTTAATACTACATAAACCACCATCTATGTCAATTGATAAGAACTAAAATGGTTTTATTGTTCCGCTGATTGTATTGACATCTTCGTAGTTCTGCTGAATTCGATGTAATTCTTGTTGTACGATCTTCCCCGATAGACGGTTTTTGCCGAATTGACCCTATAAATTATATTTGATCTCTTAAAAAAAGTTATGTTCTGTTAAATCAAAATCTAAATTCTTGCAGGCTTAGAAAAAGTTGCTGCAGAATGTAAGAAATTAAATATATCATTTCACTTGCTGGAAGGAAGTGGTGCTGATGCTCTGCCACAGTGGATCATAGACCACAACATTGGGGCAGTAGTTTGTGATTTCAATCCGCTTAGAACACCAATGGGTTGGTTGGAAGGCGCTAAAAAGAAATTCAAGAAAGATGTCCCTCTAATACAGGTACTTTTTTATTTTTTTATAAAACTAAAGTGACTAATTAACTTACAGTCCTTCTGATGATAAGTGGCCACTGCAGTGTATGGATACCCGCAGCAAACGTCAAACAAAGAAGCCTACGGATGCATTGTCACCTCTAGGGCCTAGAGGAATGCCTCAAAGCCTATAATTATACTGGCTAGAGAGCCAGACCCTTGAGACCAGAACACAAAAGTGCAGCTCTGCTATTTGGTGTTAAAAATAGGCAAGAGTATGGTACCTACCCAGCGGTACATCTAGACATAAAAGGAATCCTATCTAATAAATATGTATAATTTATTTGAATTTTCAAGAAATTTATCTAATATATAAAAATTAATGTTTGTTTGTTCGTATTTTATGTGCTGCCATACCGTTCATCAGGTTGCAGTAAAACTGTCAATTTATTGCTTGTGTTAAGATTATGGACATAGCACAATTAACTTACTACATATTTAAACAATATAACTCTTTCCAATTTCAAATAATTTTCTTCTGCGGTAGCAACGCGTTGTGTAGCATATCATATATAACCTTTATATATAAAAATTACGTGTCACATTGTTTGTCCGCAATGGACTCCTAAACTACTAAACCGATTTTAATGAACTCTGAACAGTTTCGTCCAACTTGAGAGACAGGATAGTTTTTATCTTGATAAGTGACACTCAATATTTTTTTATTACGAATTTAAGGATTTTTTATATGGAGGGTCGTCGAAAACGGCAGAACAACGTCCGCCTGGTCAGCTAGTAAAAATATATATGAAAGATAAAGGATTTTATGATCTTCATTGCCTTTACTTTAACTAGTAACAGTAATTAAGCTTAAGCTCTCAGTTTCCCTCTGTAGCCTTTTACTACTCCCACGGGAAGATATAGGGTACTGGGTATTCTTACCCGCCAATACATGGTGAACTAAGTATTTCTGAGCAAATCTCACTGCATGCAGTTCTCCTGCTAAATACAAATGGTATTTAGAGTTGCATTCATGGAAAAGTCCATACATAGTTGATATCATTCTAAAAGATGATAAAGAAATAGAAAATTTAAAATTGCAATATGTATGGATTATATGTGGTAGAGCCATGCTGCAGCTATATTATGATTGTAGCAGAATATCAGCATAAAATAGCAGCTCAATGCTGCTGTTTGTATGGTGAGTGTAGAGAACTGGAGTTCCTTTTTACTCAAAACGAGGCATTCCATCTCAGTAACAACGTATCTGCGTTTTGATTCTTAATCGTAAAACTGTGTGCTTCGTTTGTCACCCTTATTCTATTTAAATAAATGCTATATAATTTCTAAATAAGATAACATAATTTGTAAATTCTTTGTAGGTAGATGCCCACAATGTTGTACCTTGCTGGGTTGCCTCTGACAAACAGGAGTATTCTGCTAGAACCATTAGGAGTAAAATAAACTCCAAGTTGGATGAATACCTAACAGAATTTCCACCAGTGATTAAGCACCCATACACAAGTAAATTTGAACCAGAGGTATGTACTTGTCATCTTTGTTATCATTTACTGTTAAAGCCTATAACATAATTTTAATGTTGCCTTACAAACTATTCTCACATTTATAATTTAAATTGCTCGAGTCTAAGTTTCGTTGTCAAACAGTCATGATTTAAAGACTGTTCTGCATTTAATAATGGAAATGTTTTGTCTAATAATATTTTTTAACATAAAACCATATTAATAATTAGTGATCCACACCGGCTTCGCCTGAGACCATTTGTTTAATCAATTTACATCATGTCCAGTAGTAAAACTTTACAGTATGAAGAAGAATACTTACTGTTATGTTAATACTTTTAGCCCATAGACTGGGACAAAGCAATTGAAACTCGAGAAGCTGACAAGACAGTAGGACCTGTGGAGTGGGCTAGTCCAGGTTATGATGAAGCTATGAAGACCTTAAAGTCGTTTCTGGACAAGAGATTAAAGATTTTCGCTTCGAAACGAAATGACCCAACTCAAGACGCACTAAGCAATTTGTCGCCTTGGTATCACTTTGGTAATAATATATACATACCATACCCTTATTTACTCTTTAATATAGGAAAGGTTTTTGAATATGGTAAAGCCGTGTTACAACTATATTATGATTGTAGCACGAATGGGATGGCTCAACCGGCGAAGGAACATGCTCTCACAGAATACAAGCTTGAAATAGCAGCTTAATACTGCTGTGCTGTGGTAAGTCTTGAGAACCAGAGACCCTTTTTATAGGTACCAAGGCATTCCATCTTAATCCTCAAAGCATCTATATTTTGATTCTTAATGGAGGATAGATATAGGTGTCTATGGGGCACAGCATCCACTTATCATGGACTACATACTCGTTTGTTACTTATATTCTATGAAATAAAATGTAAAAAAAAATTACAGGTCAAATTTCAGTTCAACGGGTTGCACTTTGCGTTCAAAAGTACAAAAAACAATATACGGAGAGTGTGAATGCTTACTTAGAAGAAGCCATCGTGCGTCGAGAGCTGGCTGACAACTTCTGCTTTTATTGCGAACATTACGACAGCATAAAAGGCGCTAGTAATTGGGCACAAAAGACTCTCGATGACCACAGGTAGTTTATAAAACGATGTTGTGTTCTAGAAACCACATTATATCCTATTTAAAGTCCATTGATGATAGTGTGGCGGGTGGAAGGAAAAGGGGAGATCTCCCGCCGGGCAAGGTGTTCTGCCCGGGGAGCGGCCAACGCTCCAAGTGGTAGTTCGGAGCTATTCTATATATATAGTGCTTTAACTTCGGAACTTTGTTAGCGCGATTTAGGCTTCGATTTGTTTCGCTTGTGGCCGAACTACCACTTGGAGCGTTGGCCGCTCCCTGGGCAGAACACCTTGCCCGGCGGGAGATCTCCCCTTTTCCTTCCACCCGCCACAATAGTACCACATGCCTAAAAACTACACAGTACAATACAGGTAGCTGGTAGCTTTGAACTGTATTTCTATTTTCCTTTTTAGGGTTCCAACGGGACCCTATTACTAAGCCTCCGCTGTCTGTCCATCCGTCTGTCTGTCAGCGGGCTGTCTCATGATCCGTAATAAGTAGATAGTTGAAATTTTCACAGAATGTGTATTTCTGTTCCCGCTTTAACAACAAATAATAAAAATTAAAAGGGGCTCCCCTACTAGAAACGTGTATTACGATGGTAAGGAACCCTTCATGTGCGAATCTGACTCGCACTTGACCGATTATTAGTATATATGTTACATGGTGTACTAAGGGTTGTCCAGTCTATGGACAACTGCAAACACGATCAGACAATGATGAGTTGTCACTTCTTAGAACTGAGTTGGAATCCCTCACAGTTTATAATTATGAGGTCTCTATACGCTTCAGACTGGAACATAGCTGTGCAAGCACAGATATTTGGCAGCAGCAATATTTAAGTGGGTGATACCGACCCAGACGGATCTCTAGGCAGAAATGGAGTCCTACCACCTAGTCAAAAACATGCGTATTGTGATGCATCATGGTGAGGTTGGCATTTAGAGTAGCTTGTAGTTTTGGTTGATTACACTAAAAAGTGAAAATGTTTTAATTGATTTCAGAAAAGACAAAAGAACACATATTTACACATTAGAACAGTTGGCTAATGCAGAAACCCATGATGACCTGTGGAATTCAGCACAGCTGCAGATGGTGAAAGAGGGCAAGATGCACGGATTCCTCCGCATGTATTGGTGCAAAAAGATTCTGGAATGGACTCCGAGTCCAGAAGACGCACTGAAATACGCAATATATTTAAATGACCATTATAGTATAGATGGCAGAGACCCAAACGGATATGTTGGTAAGTTTTAAGTCTATTTTCTCCTTCATTAGCTAAATCAAGAACTAAAACCCTTTCAGAATTGAGAGTAGGCCCGTGCCCAGAAGTGGGACATATATATTATTACATATATACTGTGAGCTATTGAAAAATGTACTGCCATTAAGACCGCCTACTGATGTCAGAAAATTCATCTCTCGACCTCTGTCCAAAATCACTTATCCGTTTATCAGCATTATACTGTTTTGCTAAATGTTAGAGTCCACCTGTGTGGGTACCACCCTGTTGCCTGATTCAACCGCCAAGCAGCAGTTCACGCACTGTTTTATTCCAATGTGAAGAATATACAGAACTGGAATAATTATAGGCGGTGGGGCATACCATCTGAGTGCTCAGAAGTGACAATGCATCTTTGTTCGATGTTGGTTGCAGTTGTCAACGGGCTGTAGTAGCCATTACCATCAAGTGAACCGTGTAGTGGTGATGTAAGAATATCCACCACCCCATATTGTCTTGAGGGTGTCATACGAGGCCACGGAGGGAAATGAAGCAGAAGATGGGCAAAACCATCTTCCTGATAATAACTCAAAATAATAAAAACTGCGGTTGCCAACCTGCTTGCCAACCGTGGCAACTATGGCAAAATCCCCCCTATAAGGGAGGCCTATGTTCAGCAGTGGACTTTTATAGGCTATAATTTCAATTGTATAAAAATATAATCCTATCTGCAGTGCTATATAAAATTCTGCATTATTGCAGGATGTATGTGGTCGATCTGTGGTATCCACGACCAGGGTTGGGCTGAGAGAGCCGTTTTCGGGAAAGTGAGGTACATGAATTACGACGGTTGCAAACGGAAGTTCGACGTCAACGCCTTCGTCGCTCGCTACGGGGGAAAGAAGCACAAGTATGTTGCAAAGAAGTAAATTATTGTATTTTCATTTATAAATGGAAAATTATGGTGTTTAAGATATTTTAGCGTATAAGATTTAACTAACATAAGTGATGATAGGATAGAATAGATGTTTTGTTTATTTATTATATTAAATTAATTTGTTAACATCACATGCTTATGGCATATTTTGAATTAGTTAGCAATTATTGTTACCGATAATTTTGCTAATATTATTGCAACCAACAATTGTTGGAATTTTAATGTTTTAACCTACAATAATGCTCAAACGGCTGAACGAATTCTAACAAAATGTGGCAAGAAGACGATTATATCGTGAAATAAGACATAGAATATTTGATTCAGTACTCAACTAAAATTTAATTTACACCCAGCGAAGTGGACAAGTAACAGCTAACATCATAACCTTAAAACATAAGGATACAACCAATGCGTGTTCGTAGTAACAAATGACTTAATATATTATGGAAAATATATGTGATCTTTAACTGTTGGCCAGAATGAGCAATCTCAGTCACTTAATAAGCCTGGGATAGGGCTATGTTTGGGATTCCTTAGCCTCATAGAACCCGTAATAAGAACATCCAAAGTGCAAGGTTCCGTGACAATGTATGGGTGAGACTTGTAATTGGCTGTAATAATGGTGGTGAATAAAGGCTCTAAAAAAAAGAAGGAACCTCTGCCCAGACGCGAGACATGTTGTGTGTGCTGTATTTTTTTTTACTCTATGGAATTAAAGCTGAAACACTCCTAATGCGTACACTATGTGTGACGTGTGCGTCGCGTTTTCCAAAGAGTTATTATCTATATATCACTTGTTATTAAGTTTAATTACAAATTATAATTGATGTTTCAGATCAATTGTAAGATTTTATACATAATGTTTAAGTTGTTGTCATATAGTGTTCAAATTAAACGAGCAATCTGAAACATTCTCTCACTTTCTTAGCTAATACACGTTATTTACTTTTTAATTATTTTTTTATGTGTAATATTTACACAGGTTGTAGATTCCTCTAATATTTAAATATTAATTAAAATAATCATAAATTGTAAGTTTGAGGTGAAAGTACGTAAGTTTTGTTATTTAAACGTGGGATCTTAAAAATAAAGGTTTTTATAAATTAAGAACATGTTTTTATTAACTTACCAATAAAACAATTGAATATTAAAATTCGCCTTCTTAATTTAAACCCCAAATTAAATTTCCATGAATACCTTAATTAAATTGTATTTAGATTTAAATATTATTTTTTATTTTTACAATGTGATAAATGATATATTATTACCTATAATTTTAAGGTACTTACAAGATATTTTTCTATGTCTCTATCCTTTCACATCACCCGTATTCGGCATGACGTTGATTTTCGTGACCCACTGTATAAGCTAGTTACGCCTTTGAGAATAATTTAACCTACTTGTGATGTTGAAGGCATTGAAAAGTACCTATTTAATTCAGTACCAGTTACCAAAATAGTCTTACTAGTGCGGCTTAATTTTATTTTATGTTCACTGATTGGGGTCAGTTGATAATGAGTAAAATACGTAATGATTTCTTATATTTATATCTACGTAGTCTAACCCACCTTTTAATTGAATGGATAGAAGTTTTATTGATTGAAATCAAATCAAGACTAATCTATATAAATAAAATTATAGAGGTTTTCAGTTGTGCGCGCATTACGCTAAAACAACTGGATGGATTTCAATTTGGTTTTCTAAGTTTTATTTCTTAGACACTTGGCTATTATCTAAAAAAAATATTGCGATACCTTAATTTAATATATTTTTTTTATTATATCGCGGATCAGCTAGTAACCAATATTTATAAACTTGATGCACTAGCCTTATGAAGTGATAATGCATCATTTTTGGGAGGGTTCAGAGGAATTGTTCGAATAATTCCGGTTGTAGGATTCCATTATTACACATTGCTACACAAATCGATATTCCATAAAAACAATCTTAGGCCCGTATTAATAAACGTTACTCAGCTCAAGTACACGCACATGAGTACAATATTGAGGTTATGATATTAACATATCTCAAGATGCGGTTTAGGTTTATGATATCAGCTGAGTACCACCACACTGATTAATAAACGAAACTTGACTCTCAAATATGTGTACTTGAGTGCAAGTCACAGAACATTATTCCTAAGTACAGTGTTTTGAGATACTGTTTTTATGTGTTTATTAGCGACTTTATTAGTTTATTTGCAACGATTTTGAGATGCTGATATCGTAATAAGGGCGTATCAAATGATTGCGCATTTGAGTTCGTCGTTGAGTAACGTTTATTAATACGGGCTTTAATCAGTTAACAATGTCATTTCGTGCAGTAATAACGTCCCAGGGTAAGAAAATACAGTCTATTTTCGATATGGTTTTATATTTCTATGAAAAGGAGTCGATTCCACAACATAGTAGGCAATGTTGTGCACTGTTTTGAAAACTTTAGTGATTGTGTGACACAACTTTACTTGGGTCTATGGTTATCACCAGTTGAGAAAAAAGCCCAAATTGCAGACGTAGTAAATTTTTAACTTAATTTGTCTGTTGTTTTATTCTTAGATTTGTACATTATAGGTTATAACTACATAGTAAAATACGGAAAAGCTTATGTTTTAAAGGAAAAATCTCTGGGTCAGTGCTTTCTTACGGCAAGAAAAAAATCCTTAAGGGTAACACAAAATATAAAACGAAGTCGTGATGCGACAACAGTTGAGATAATAAATGTATAATATATAATATAATATATATTTTTTATGTGGTAGAGCCACGTTGCAGCTATATTAGTAGTATAGTTGTAGCACGAATGGGTCGGCTCGACCGGGGAAGGACCACGTTCTCACCGATTACCAGCGTAAAATAGCAGCTTAACACCGGAGACCCTTTTTTCTGGAAAAGAGGCATTCCATCTTAGTCCTCACGGGTGACAACGCATCTGCATTTTGATGATAACGAGGATAAATGTAGATGTCTATGGGCCACAGCAACCACTTATCATCGGGTGGACTGTGTGCTCGTTTGTCACCCTATCCAATAAAAAAATATAATTAAAGAATATTGAAACTTCACTTGAAGATGTTCCCCCAGCAAGTGATAATTTTGATGAGAGAAATGCAAGTAACCTTAGGGTCTAAAGTGCATTGTTGTGTATTAAAGATTGTATATTAAAGTGTATTTAAGAAGAACAAACCACCCCGAAAAGGTGATAAACACCAGTAAAGTTCAGTTTAATTAATGTTTAGTGGAACTCCTGACGGGAATTATCTACCAACCTGTGTGGTTTATAAGATAGATCATTTGTGGACCAGGTGACGTGAAAATGAAATTATATTAATAATTATGAGACATTATTGCATTAGTGATTCTTACTCGAAGGTAAGTAGCAAAATGAATAAAAGTATTAAAAAAAAACCTATTTTTTGGAACAACCCTACAGTCTACGATATTTTTGTGTGAATAGTTTGTAGTACCCACTACAACTTTGCATATTAGCTGTAAAAAAAATACTTTCATGGCAATAATTTAACTACCGTGGTGTATTAAGTGCACAAAAAAAAACATAATATCAACATATTTATTGCGGTAGGATATAAAGTTGCGTCTTTTACACACAACTTTGGCCAACGATTTTGAGTGCCTGCAATTCGTAAGAACAGCATGAATTAAAAAAAAAATTGTCTTACCAGTAAAGCGTAACGTGTGTTTTCCATCTAAAACTCATTAGAATCCATAATAATAAATATGTTGTATGTAATAATAATATAATCATAGTATGAGAAATTAAGATCCTTTCTATTGCAAACCCATGTAGTTCCATGTTTAAAATAAAACTTTTGAATAGCTTTGTTATATAGGTACATAAGAAGGGTAAAAACTATTAAAATACTTATCGAATTTCACATTTCCCATAACGCCTTGAATTGGCAAATAAATTGTGCTAGTGGTAGCAATGAAAAAGCCCAACGTCGGTAGTTTCGTTTGCTCCATCCATTTTAACGCTTCATCAATTTTTGAAATCAAGGATGACCTGCGCAATATGGTTGAAGGTGCAATACCAGATATTAAATTTGAAGTAAGATTACACTTTAAGGCGCAGGTTGAGCAAAATGTCGCGCTAGTCGTTATTTGTGCTGTTTTTAAGAGCTATCTACTTTTTATTTAAAAGATATATCAACAAATAAAAAACACATTATATTTCTACATAATCTTGATTCCATAAAAGCTATATCCAATATTTTTTTAAAGGAATAAATATTAATATAATCTCCTTACAACGAAACCACATAAATGTGAAATTATTATTGATAACATGCATCTCCTCGTAAAGTAAGTATTATTTTATTTTGCGATTTACACCAATGGATAGGCAATTTATTAATGAACATTTCTATAGTAAATTTTTTTTCAAAAGACCTAAATTTAATTTTATTAAGAATTTATTTTAAAATCTGGGCATATTCACTGCTCACGGGCTTGCTGAAGTCAGTGAGCCCCACAGAGTACATTGTGGTGAGCCCTGAGCTCTTCGACGTGAAGCCCGTGTCGTTAGAGCGTCGATCAGCACATACACTCACGTCATATCAGTCGAGAATAATATTACTTATTAGGTTATTTATAGGTAGTATTATTTGTTTGTTTTGGGTATAATTTTACGTATGACTTATACATATGTTTGTTGTGTTTTTTACTGCGCGATGAAGCTTTTTGCGTGTATTTTCTTTGAAGTAAATGCAAATAAAAAAATGAAGCACCATTAGCATGTAAGGTTCGAATCCATAATTAAAATTTCGACAAATATTATAATTTACACTATAAAAGGCTAATTGAATATTATCACCCAACCACAATACGAGTATCTTATTAAGTATAGTACTGCCTCTTTGGTCTAGTGGTTGTAGTAGTGCGACTTCTGATCATGAGGTCCCGGGTTCGAGGGTCGGGCCAAAAAGTCAGTTATGAGTTTTTCATTTATGTTCTAAGTTATAATTAGTATTACTAAGTTATAGTTTTTTTGCTAAAATATAGTATATTATTTATTGCTTGTTTTTTCTTCTTTTTTAAAAAATAATTGAGTACATAAGGTGTTCTATACTTATAATTCTGTAAAAAGTATCTAAGTAGGTACTAATATACCTACTTTTTACTATTAACTAAAAATTTTTAAAACTAAATTTAACTAAAAAGACTAAACTGACCATTTATTTTTTAACTCAAAACAGGACATGGGTTTATTTATACTCTAAAAACTATAACTTTATACAATGGGGGTTAATAATTTTCCGCTCACCAGATGTCGCTAGTTGACACTGAGGTAAAGTTTTTTGTTACACAATGTAATTTAATTGAGAAGTTGTTTTTTAATAAATGTTTATCAGTTTCTAGATTATTATATTAATACAAAAATAATGCGTCAGTGGTTTCTAATATCTGAGATTTGGTATATTTATTTTAAATGTTATTTATATAAAATATAGCTAATAGTACAAAAAGAAACAATGAGTGTTACATTTTCCAAATAAATTAACTTTAGCGCTATGAAATCTGTCAAATGTTATACCTCCCTTTCCAGTGGCGCCGCCCTGGTGGTAGAAAAAGTCGTGGATGCCCTCATTAGTGTTCACTGTAAAATTATATTCGGTATAGACGGTAATTATTAAATGCAAGATATTTTTTTTAATTATTAATTACATTTGTAAGTGGATTAAATTTGCTTTAATAAAGTTGGTGATGATTTTAAATAAAAATAAAATTCTGCTCAAGTTTTTTTATTGTTATCTTTCTTAACAACATCGCCTTTAGAACTCTGGAACCGTAAGTGTTTCTTTCAGACGTCCACAATTTATTCAAAATAAAAAAATACTCTTTCTACCGGAGCATTCTTACCAGGTAGACATAAAATATATTCAATTAAAAAAAATTATGTTGAAGATTGTTCACTTTGAATACTTCCATTCAACTAGTTACGGGACAATTTTGTGTCCCGGAGCTTTGTTTGGGGACAATGGGACAGGTGACCGAGAAAAGGGACAGTCCCGTTCAAAACGGGACGTATGGTCACTTTAGCTATAACCTGGCGACGGCTCCGTGGCGTAGTGGCTTAGTAATCAGTTGTTGCGCTGGGGGCTGCGGGTTCGAATCTCGCACGGAACAAGTATTTGTATGGCCTACAAATAATAATTTTCCGGGTCTGGATGTTTGTCCTTGTGCAATTTATGTTTGTAAACTGCCTCCACGACACAGGAGAAAATCCTAGTGTGGGGGTAACGTTTTTTTACAATTGAAATTGAAAGATTGAACCCTTATACTTCTTGTTGATTTTTGTATTACCTTTATTAAAGTTACCCTTATGTATAAATAAATATAATTACGTATGTAGAAATAAAATTGATTTTCATCCTCATCAATCATTGGGGCGAGGATAGTGTCTGCCAGCAAAGTAATAAGCAGGCTAAGTTACAAGGTGCTCAGTTCAAAAATTTGTAGGTAGGATATGTTACTTTTCAATACGTGACACGTAAAAATTAACAATAATCAAAAACACATCTACGAAACATCCTATTTATTTATTTATTCTTTATTGCACCAAATATTTGTACAAAAGGCGAGTTATCTATTTATTTACCTATAGTGAATAGGTATTTTTTAAACTCACAATTTTCAATGCTTCATTTTTAATATATAATTAATTATAAAATTTCATAATTAGATAATATATGAAAATACATAATTCTAATATAATGCAACTAATATACCGAATAAAAAAATTAAAATACATTTATCGTTGTACGCTGTGTGTATTTCCATAAATTAGTTTATTGATGTTGAAAAAATAATACTACATAATAGGTGGCGTCTTAAATAAGCAATATATTGAAGCGAGCGAGCGGCGTGTCGCCGGCAAATGCTCAAGGTCGTTCGCATGGAGTAGCCGGCAGTTATGTAGATAACTACGTAATTACGTATGTTCACGATTTTGTCAAAAATAATGATGTTACTCAAAAAAAAATATTAACGTTATATTTAGAAAAACAAGAATTTTAACAAGCCCATTTTAAGGGCAGTAATTAGATTTTTGTGTTTGACTATTAAACATCGTTTTATAAATTCATACCTGTTTCATTGATCTGCTAAAACCTACCTTACAATTGCCCAACTACCTAATATGTACTAAATACTTACATGATTAAATTAATAATTTAAATACAATAACGCATAGGCGTGTCATGGCATCTGATGGAATCTTGGCGCATCGCTATTTCAACTACTCTATGTATCAGTATCTATAGAACATTGCTTACGTTAAGCATAATGGACAATGAGCGATACGCGTGCTCTATAGCTTATGTATACTCTAATGTTTCGCTCGTTCTTGGTCTCCAGAGAAGTTTTGGCGGGAACTTGACCGGCGACGGATTGCTGCTCCTGTATTATTGTTTAAATAATGGTTTGAAGTGGACTTTGATATGTAAAAGTGGTGTGATTTTGTGTATTAAGTGTCTACGCATGTGAAGTATTACTGAAAACAGTGAAACAAGTGCTCTGATGGTGATGTGATTCTCAAGATAAGGTGTCTGGTTAGGCGCCTTGAGATACCATTGCCAACTGTCAGCTGTCTGCTGGCTCAAGTTGCCGTCAAAATCTCCCGAGGGCTGCACAATGTGACGCATCATCATATTGTGAACCAGTGTACTATGAAGGATAATTATAAATTGTAAACTTCAGGCTCAAAAGGGCTAGAACCCAGAGCCGTAAAGCCAGTTATAAAATTAAAAAAAATTGGTCTCCAGATCAGTTTTTCTAGACTAGAAATCCGCTTGGCTTGACACACCTTGTCGCTAAACTGCAGCGCATCTATTACTGCTCCATTGCAGTGTAACCACCTTTTGGCTGCAGTAATCAATTAACATCAGGTGGAACTCTTACATTATTTTAGTCGCTTAAGCCATTTTGCCTATAATGTGGTTTAAAATCAAAACTTTTATTGCGGTATATATGCGGTAGATTCTGAAATTTTGGAGTAATAATTAATAATTATAACAAGCGTAGTGCCAATAAAACATCGATTGCTTATAAATATTTTTATTTATGAATCTGACTGTTCCGTGGTTACAACAATATACTTCGATAATCTTCATAAAATTAGAAATAGAAAAATAATATCAAAGGGCTATTTCTTCTCGGAACATTTAGTGAGTCAATTAACCGTTATAATTTTTTGTGTTACGGGTACATGCGCGAATACATTTCATTAAATAGTCAAAGGTTTATACAATTTTGAATCACCTATCCACAGCTTACAAAAACAATATCTAATTTATTTATATATTTCACAAAAGCACAACATATTTTATAATCACATCAGAAATACAATCAAATTGTCATAAGAAACACAAAAATCTTTATCATTTGCTTCTTCTATTATGTCTCATCTTTTATTTTATTAATTAAAGTCTATAATTGAATAATAATAAGAAAAGAAAAAATTATCATAATGTCAACACACAAAGGAATTATAATAAAATCGAAAAGTAATGTAGCAGCAGAACGCGATACAGACTCCATTGTATTTATTATGGTTATTGTTATTTTATTATGATTTCAAGTAGTACCCGAGTAACTGTAGACTATGAACACAAAATGTGGCTTGCTTCTATTAAACATATCCCACTAATACAAAGTACAGCACAAGAGCAATACACATTTGATAGTACAAAAGTTGCAATAAGGCTCTGAATTAAATTTCATAGAAAAGTGAAAACTTTCGAGACGGTCGACGGAGAGTGGTGTTGGAGGATCATAGCCAAGTTCGTGATGGAAGGTGGAAATGTGTTAGTTTGTGAGCTCGAAATTAGGTTACAACCCTCCCGTAGCTAAATAAAAAGTAAAATATGGTCTTTATACACGGGCTGATGTTTTTTTTTGTTTCTTTTTTTTATAAACTAGTTAAGTTGTGTGCTCCCCTGTGTGAGTGTGTGTGTGAAAGCAGAGCTACATTCGCTGTTGCGGGCGCGGGACGGTTTCCTAGCGAGGGCCTACTGCACGCAGCACGAGTTCTTGTGGCCGTTCTTCTTCAGCCGCGACTTCGGCCTATACTTCTCCAAGTAGGAGAGCTGCTTCGCGTTGATGGCGCCGCGACGTTGACTGTAAACGAAGAAATATAATCGTGAACATATTATTAATAAAATGTAAATTTAAAATATTTCCTAAATGCCGTTTTTTCGGACTAATAATATTGCGGCAACAGTTACTGTTACTATTAGAAATCCCTATTATTTGAAAATTGAATAAGTGTTAGTTATACTAATATTTTAACTAGTTTAATATGTAATCAATAGAATCAGGCGTTACTTTGCGGAATCCATTATATAAAAGCTTTTAAAAAAGTTACTTCGCAAACATCCGCTCTATAAAATAAAATGATGTGTCTTACCTAGTATGAAGAGCACCTCCCGCCCTCCCTCACTTGCGTGCACTATTCCTGTCACCACTAATCCCAGCACCATTACTCCCAACACCACTACACGAGGCATCCTCAGGTGATGTAGACTCTACGGTGGCTGACCGTTAAGATCACTTAACGGAGTAGTGGTGACGGGGATAGTGCACGCAATTGAGGGAGGGCGGGAGGTGCTCTTCATACTAGGTAAGACACAATTTTATTTTATAGAGCGGATGTTTGCGAAGTAACTTTTTTAAAAGCTTTTTTAGTTTAATATGATTTAAATCATTATATTTTTTTTATAATTTTTTTCTCTGCTCAGCGTAGTTTAATTATTTAAATGAGTTGGCCTGAAAGTGAGGGTCCTCAATTTTACAAAATACCAGCGCAAAATAGTATGTTTCATGTGGTGAGTGTACAGAACTGGAGACCCTACACTGGTAAAGATGCATTCCAAATTAGTCCTCTCGGATGACAACGCATCTGCATTACGATTCTTAATTAATGCTTAATGTAGGTGTTTATGGCCCCACAAACCAGTTACAATCAGGTGGATTGTGAGCTCGTAAGGGCGACATTACCTCTGAAGTGATGTGGGGAGATTCTTAATAAATTACTTACCAATCACTTTTTATAAAATTTTATTATAAGCAGAACAGTTCACACAATTAAATAGTTCATATATGCTATAGTTCACAGCTACAATAATTCACGAATACAATTGTTCACAAATAGAATAGTTCACATATAAAATACTGTTTATAATTTAGCACAAAGCGTAGCACAGAAGTTATTAGCACGAGAAGGAAGATAAAGTTCAAAGCAAATAGCAAAAACAAACAATAGCCGGGCGCTATTAATATATAAAAAATAACCAAAAACACTACACTCCCTTCTGAACTAGTCGAAGAGAAAGGCTAATTCAAGATAATAATAAGAAGTAAATATATTCATTCTGTTCATTGAATGTAGGTAAACAAACCCATATACATGAGACATTGTTTTTTTTTTCACATTTATTGTGGCATTAGCTACATGAATGATATATAATATAATTTCAGTTCACACAATCAATATTTTCATAAATGGATGACAATTCCTTATATATAAATCAATACACGGAAATCGGTTAATCAATCTAAACTCTTTTATTTATTTTTTGTTCTTTTCTTTAAAAATAAAATAGATGACTTGAATGTATGGGCATAAATTCTTTTGCATATAAATGAAACGGTTTAAATTTCATTTATAAGGATTTCATACAAAACAATAATTATCTCATAAACTATAACATATAAAAAATGTGTCGAACAAAACTTTTTTGATTTGTAATTTTACACATAAAAGGTCCGCATCTTTTTGTGTCTTAAGTTTTGATGCAAAATCTATTTTTAATACTATTTTTTACTTCAACACCTTTTTACAACAAAATTATGATATGACTCTCAAAGGATAAGTAAATAAGGGGGCGCCCATTAATGACTTAAGGTGTTTAGGGGGGAAGGGTCGAGCCGATCCCACTCAATGTCACCTGGGTGAGAGTGGGGGTCTCGGCAACTATCACCTATTTTTTTTTCGGAAGAAACAGTGTAAAATTTCGAGAAAATTGGGTTAAATTAAGTAAAATATGGCTAAATTCTACACAATTAATATTTATCGCAGTTATGCGAACTCCACACATCATATAAAAATAATTAAGCATTTATTTTAAATAAAGATATTTAGTGGGGGGAGGTGAGAGGGTGAGGGGCTTAGAAATGTCGCCACAATCGCCTTACGTAATTAATGGAACTCCCCCCCCAGACCATTTTTAGCTGAAATTAATAGATCTTCCATTTTTATTTGTATTATTTATCCATAGCGCACACAGATTATATTAAAAAACTGAGTCTGCGGGTGTTGTTTGTTTAAGTTTTACGTGAACGAAACGAAATCGCGGGTAAAATCTAGTATTTACATTTTAATTTACATAAAACCACATACTAAAGTGGACATGGTATGAATATTACACAGGTTAAGTTTCAAAGAGTAGCCAAATTTGAAACTTTAGTTCAAATATATAACTAATGATATACCGTTATTGCAGTTTTTGGAAATACGAGTAAATAAGGTTTCAACTTTTATTTGAAACTATCTGTTCCCCGCGACCTCACCCGCGTGTAATTTAGGTTTTTTTTTGCGGGGAACCTTAATTCTTTTTCTAAAACAAAATTAGCCTAAGTTACTCCTTATAACATCAGCTGTCTGTCAGTGAAAGTCCCATCAAAATCGGTCCAGCCGTTTCGGAGATTAGCCCGAACAAACAGACAGACGGACAGACAGACAGACGAAAAGATTAAAAATTGTGTTTTTGTTATAAGTATCATATATATATCATATATATGATACTTATAACAAAATACATATATATATATATAGTATCATATATATATATACCGTTTTCAGTGCCTGGAAGACTGCAATGAAGTGGACGATATGAATGACAAGCTCGTGGAAACTGTCCATGCGGTTGGAGCTAAGTTCTGCAAGACCCGCCGCAGAAGAACACAAAAACTCTCCGATCACACTCTTAATCTCATGGCTGTTAGACGGGAGATGAAGCTACATTCTTCAACAGACTTGACAGCATACAGGCATCTGAACAGACAGATCTCCAAATGCATGCGGCGGGACTTACGCAACTTCAATACAGCTCGTATTGAAGAAGCGATCGAGCGGAACCAAGGCTCCAAAGTCTTTGCCAGAGATCTGTCTGCCAGAAAGAGCCAACTGTCAAAGCTGAAGACAGAATGTGGCAGCATCGTTTCCGGGACACCTGAGATTTTGAGTGAGATTGAGAGGTTCTATGGGCAGCTGTACACATCATCGTTGGAGCCACACGCAAGTGTGAGTAACGATCCAAGAGCGAGTCTCATCCGACACTATTCCGAAGATATCCCGGATGTCAGTCCGAGCGAGATTAGGATGGCTCTCCAGCACCTTAAAAACGGTAAGGCCCCAGGCGAGGATGGAATTACAGCGGAGCTTCTGAAAGCGGGTGGAAGACCGGTACTTGAAGTCCTTCAGAAGCTCTTTAATTCCGTCCTCCATGGTGGCATTACACCGGAGGCGTGGAGCAGAAGTGCGGTGGTCTTGTTCTTCAAGAAAGGTGACAACGCTCTCTTGAAGAACTACAGACCGATTTCCCTTCTGAGCCGCGTCTACGTGCTGTTTTCGAGAGTCATTACGAATCGTCTCGCGCGCAGACTTGACGACTTCCAGCCTCCCGAACAAGCCGGTTTCCGAAAGGGCTTTAGCACCATAGACCACATACATACCCTTCGGCAAGTTGTACAGAAGTCCGAAGAGTACAATTTGCCACTATGTCTGGCGTATGTGGACTATGAGAAAGCCTTTGATTCCGTCGAAATTTGGGCGGTGCTGCAGTCCCTTCAGCGGTGCCAAGTTGACTGTCGGTATATCGAAGTGTTGAAGTGCTTGTACAGTAGGGCTACGATGGCTATCCGAGTACAGAACCAGAGTACGAAACCTATCCAATTGCAGAGAGGTGTAAGACAGGGTGACGTCATATCCCCGAAACTCTTCGCCGCTGCATTGGAAGACGTTTTCAAGCTTCTGGACTGGAAAGGATACGGTATCAACATCAATGGCGAGTACATCACTCACCTTCGATTTGCCGACGATATAGTCCTTATGGCAGAATCGCTGGAGGACCTAAGCACTATGCTCAATGACCTCAATAGTGTTTCCCAACGGATAGGTCTTAAGATGAACATGGACAAAACTAAGATCATGTTTAATGTCCATGTCACACCTATGCCGGTAGTTGTTGGGAACACTAAGCTCGAAGTTGTTGACGAGTATGTTTACCTGGGACAAATAGTCCGACTGGGTAAGTCCAACTTCGACCGAGAGGTCAATCGACGGATTCAACTCGGCTGGGCAGCGTTCGGGAAGCTACGACACATCTTCTCGTCAGACATACCTCAAAACCTTAAAACGAAATTGTACAACCAGTGCGTGTTGCCAGTGATGACTTACGGAACTGAGACGTGGTCCTTCACTGCTGGCCGTATGAGGAAGCTCAAGGTCGCTCAACGAGCTATGGAGAGGGCTATGCTCGGAGTTTCTCTGCGTGATAAACTTAGGAATGAGGATATCCGCAGTAGAACCAGAGTGACCGACATAGCCCAACGGATTAGTAAGCTGAAGTGGCAGTGGGCCGGCCATATAGCTCGAAGAACCGACAACCGATGGGGAAGAAAGGTTCTCGAGTGGCAGCCTCGTACCGGTAGGCGAAGTGTAGGGCGTCCCCCCACGAGATGGAGTGACGACCTGGTAAGACATGCAGGAAGTCGATGGATGCAGGTGGCTCAGGACCGTGTTTTGTGGCATTCTTTGGGGGAGGCCTATGTTCAGCAGTGGACTTGTGAAGGGCTGTAATGATGAAAATGATGATGATGATCATATATATGTACTTTCATATGCACTAAATGCAATGCACAAAAGCTGTTGACGTTACAGACACTCCAATTTTATTTATTTGTATAGATTATCCCGAATCGAATGTGATTTATGGGCAACATTTTTGCCTATCGATCGACCCTTATAAATTATTGTGTGCGTGCGCAGTAAAATCATTTAAAATATTGCATTACCACAGATTTTGAATTTAAAAGACAATAAGGGACAGAATGTTGGAATTTTTTTTTTAATTAATTTTCGTTCACCATTTGCCTATATTACTTATTCTGAACCTTCAGGATAGAGTTACAAACAAGCACACAATCCACCTGATGGTAAGTGGTTGCTGTGACCCATAGACATCCACATCAATTCCCAATAAAGAATCAAAATGCAGATGCGTTGTCACCCGTGAGGACTAAGATGGAATGCCTCTTTTCCAGTAAAAATTTTTCTCTACAAATTTGGCCGGTTATTGCAAAATAACCGGGCATGGGCCTATTTGTATAGAAGAAGGCATGTGCATATTTATATGGAATAGGGCATGGGGATATTTATATAGAAGAGGGTATGGATATATTTATATAGAAGCGGACAAATAATACTGACTCGCGTATGGTCTCGACGGCCTCTTCGTACTTCATGCCGAGCTCGATGAGCGCGATGGCGACCATGACGGGCGCGCGGCCGAGCCCCGCCACGCAGTGCACCGCCACCGCTGCCTCGGGATTGTTCTGCGCCCTGCACCAGTACCAACACACACACACACACATTACTCTCTACAATACCATGCTCATCTTAAAATCAACACGCTATAACGATATATGCCTAAGATCAAAGTTTGATTAATTATGTATTGTATGGCTCTAGCGCCAATATAAAAATTACATAATACTATAGAGCAGAAGGGTAAGAATAAAACTATCAAACTGACATCTCACTTCAATTTAACTACTTCGTACTAATTTCAATAAAGAGGCTTCGCGGAATGGAGGGGCTAGAGAGGGGTTTGTTTTTTTTTAACTGTAACTACTTGGCAACTGAATACAACTACAATTATAGCCAGATCAGTCCATTAAACCTTTGAGATATCACATGATAAACAAGTCAATCATGAAGAGAACACTAACGATGTGGAAAATTCGAGTTTCGTGTTGTGATTAAGTTCCTCACTAAGCAAGGAAAAACGCCACATGTCATTATGGAAGAGATGTCATCTGTTTACGGGGATTCTTCCCCTGAGAAAACGATGCTTTATAAGTGACATAGCCTTTTCAAGCAAGGCAGAGAGTTAACTGAAGACGATCAGCGTTCAGGCCGACCAATTGAGGCAACTTCCTTAGACATTGTCGAAAAATTCGAAGAACTTGGTTTTGAAGATGCGATGCGCGTCGAAGATAAAACAGATTGCAGAAATGACTGGAGTATCATCTACGACCGTTTTAAACATTATCCGTGACCATCTTAGCATGTCTAAGGTCAGTGCAAGATTGCCAAGAATGCTCACACCGCTTCGGAAACAGCAGCGGGTCGCGTGTTCGCGTGAGTTTTTAGGCTGTGTAATGAGAACAGGGACGAAATTATGAACTGAATTGTGACTGGGGATGAAACGGGTTCATCACTATGACCCTCAATCATAGCAGGAGACGGTGCAGTGGCATAAAAAAGGCGCAGCACCGCCTGAGAAGTTCAAGGTTCAGGTTTTTGGAATTCAGAGGGGATTTTTTGATCGATTATAAAGATATAGGTGTCAATATTACAGGACAGCATTACACTACGCTACTACAAAAGTTATGAAAAAAAAGTAGGAGAAAGTGGTCTCGAGGTGTGCTCCTTTTGCACGACAACGCAGCCGGTCACAAGTCATGTTGCGATGGCTTCCTTACACAAGTGCGGCTTCGAAACTTTTAAACCTACAATCCAAATTTGGCCCCTACTTAATATTTGTTCCCAAATATGAAAAAAAGAGCTTTAAAAAAGAAATTTAAAGATAAAAGAGTTATTTAAACATTAAAAAAAAGAAGTAATAAAGTCAACAATTTCTGCCTATTTCTAGGGCCTGGACAAAACATTTTTTCGAAGGTATCAATGAGTTATTTGAATGGTCTGAGAAGTGTATTAGGGTGAACGGAGAATATATCGAAAAGGAAAAACAATTTCATGTTTAATTTCACCACTTTCATTTCGCGAACTTTTTAACCTCCCCTCGTATGTTATATAGACTGTGCAAAAATCAAACTATTTTTTTTAATTGTTAATTTTTAATGAAAATAACGTTTTCTTTTTTTTAATACTAGCAGTCGGCACCTGCTTCGACGTGTGATTTCTGGATCTCCACGACAGTGCCACCTACCGCGTCCAACTATAGCTAAAAACCATCTAGGTGAACCCATAAGTACCCTATAAAAATTTATCAAAAAAGGTCAAGCCGGTCAGGAGAAGAACTACGAATACACGCACATGGTAATTTTATATATAATAGAAATATCATCAGCTCTAAATAGTCCACTATAGACTTTCCACTGTAAGAAGGATGTGCCGTAACTCAAGAATTGCCATTAGTCTGGTCTCCATTAGGTGGTCTCGGTACTTTGTGACATCTTCTTGGAGGAAATAAGGTAATTATCTCTCTTACGTTGCCATCACAAGGTAAAACATGAAGCAATTAACTGTAGTGCCGCAACTCCAATTATTCAAATGCGACGTTATTTCGCGGATATGAGACATGCCTTGTTGAGCCAATAAATTAGATAGTTTACGTTGTTATGCCGTTCGATGAGTGTAGTAGTATAAATGACAAAGGAAATGAATATTTGACTTGACCATCGCCAAAATTTCAAGACCTGTGGGTTCTATCAGACAGGAAGCGGTTACGCGTACAAGCGTTCTACGTTCGAGCGTTCTATTGCTCACGAATTTTTTGACAATAGTTCTTAATCGGAAGAAGACTTATCATTTTAGCATAAAACCGTGGTTTGTGGCAGTCCAGCCTGTTCACAAAGGTGGACTTTTATTTTATTTATTAAACTATTATTACATTTGTAAACTTTACCGGCTTCGCTGACAATAACAATTAATAATGAATGGTGAAGTAAAAAATTACACCTATTTGTTAAATGCGTGACTAAATATGCAGGCCGTTTTTAAAAACGTTATTGTAATATTTTATTAATAATGTTTAAGTTAATTTAAGGTTTGATGGGATTAATATTATGTTATGATGAAAATGCAATGAAACGAGGTGATGAGGACAAGAAGAAGGAGAAGTACTAACTTGTCGCGCAGTATCTCGAACCACTCGTCGACGACGTTGGCTGGTGGGAAGGTGCCGTCGTCGTAGGCCAGGTCGCGCACCTCGATGCCCTCGGCGCGCAGCGGCGCCGTGTCGTAGCTGGGCTCGCACACGCGCACCACCGTGCATACCTTGTGCTTGCGCAGCTCCTGCAAACGTGCGGTACACACTGCCTCACTAAATGTTGCTTGGTAAACACAAGTTGGTCCTGCTGCTGTGCCTCTCATATCTGAGGCATTGGAGCGGAGAAGAGCGCTGCAATGCCGTGTTGACAGAATTCGTATGTCCACGAAATATTTCAAGTTTCGCATACATGCAAGTTTTCTACATTACGGTCCTATGCCGATGTGCACTTCCGATTCATAAGTTCAGAACTGCTCAAGGGATCAATCTGGAGTTGCATGTGAACGACAAAATTTAATTCGAGTCTCTGATATACCCAGCACTGCCCTTTTATTTAACACTAGTTGTCTCCGCGACTTCGCTCGCGTGTTAGGGTTTTTAAGTTTTTGCGCGGAACCCTAATTCTTTTTCTAAAATAAAAGTATCCTAAGTTACTCCTTATGAAATCAGCTATCTGCCAGTGAAAGTCCCGTCAAAATCGGTCCAGCAGTTTTGGAGATTAGCCGGAACAAACAAATAGACAGACAGACGGATAAACAGAAAGACAGACGGACAAACAGACTGACAGACGGACAAACAGACAGACAGACGGACAGACAGACAGACGGACAGACAGTCCCGTATTTACTTTCATATGCATTTAGTAAAAAAAAAACTGTAATTTTGACATTACAAACAGACACTTCAATTTTATTTATTTGTATAGACTAGCGACCCACCTCGGCTTCGCCTGGGGAAGATCCATTAGTGTGACGTTCGAAAATCGATAATTTAACATACAAAGACCATTTATTTCATAAATTCATAAATTTCTCAAATAAAAATCTTAAGTTTTTGATTAAATATAGCCTAGATCACTTCTGGCATTGCTCTCTATGTGTTAGTCAAGTTTCATTACAATGGGTTCAGCCATTCCGAATATTAGTCCGGACAGACAGACAAATATTTTAATAATTGTTACACATGCCTTAATGGCATGCAAATAAACCCACCAAGCTCAATACAAGGTAATTATTTCGATATTACACACAAACACTTCAATTTTATATATGTATATGTATAGATTTAAGTTCTGTGAGTAAGTAAAAAATAACGATAGTAAAATACTTTGCACATTCTCCCAATCGATTTCGATCCCGGCGAAAACGTATGAATATTGTTGGAAGCGGCTAGTTGTAGTTGTATATGTAGTGATGTAAAGTCCGCGCGCTCTACCTTGGCTGGGCTGAAGTTAGTCGTGACTAGCTACTAACTAAATAAATTATTAGAGATGCAAATACTAGATTATTGTTATTATCGATTATGACTCGACTTTTTTATGGTTTATCTGTGTGTTACTGGAACAAGTCGTTTTAAATACAACGATTATGATGATGTGCATCAAAATTTTTAAAGTTATAATATTTTGGAGTTACAGAAAGAATTTGATTTCCTGGCTATATTGTGTATTTTTACTATATATTCAAACTTATTATCGTGATTCTTTATTAGATACTACGTTATATTGAAATACATAAAGATGTTTTCATTATAATAATAATTTTCAATTTATTATATAAAAATAAACTGTTTTCCTAAGCAATCTTAGGAGCGAATATGAAGTAGCACATCTCTATCGATTAGCGTCTGTAAATGCGCGAATGTCTCGGAAAGTCAACTTCAGGCCGGCCAAGATAAGGGGCGGACCGTACGCGTAAAACAAATGGGCACTTTCCGAATTCGGAAAACGAAAAATACCTGCTGAGTTTGTTCCGTCGTTTCTTTCCCAGACAAGGAGCCATCTTTTTAACTACTATTTAGACTAAACGTCAAAAAATAACATTTCATTTTACAGTAAGTTATACACTTTCTCATCAGAATCAAGTGTTGTGATTTTCTGTGTGTGAATCACTATGTTCTTAGTACTATAGTAATTTTGTTATCGTCGCCAACAGATTGAATAAAGGCAAGTCAATGCAACGTGTATAATGAACATGTTAGCAAAACATTGCGGTCTGCTGCTACTTCATAAACAATTAATCAACGACGTCAATGTAAGTTTTCCTTTCAGGTAAAATGAGTTCGGTCAAGGAAAATGTATTTTATGTTCTTCCAGTTATTTTTTATATATTATCAAACAAAATCTATACCGCTATAGACCGTAATCTACTACGTAGTTTTATGTCAAAGTCAAAACATTTTATCAATTTAGGCTTATTTATCTACCGACTTCAAAACGAAGACGGTACTCAATTCGACTGTTTTTTTTTATGTGTTACCTCATAACTTTTTACTGGGTCAATCGATTTCGATGATTCTTTTTCTATTTGAAATCTGGTGCTTCACATGTGATCCCATATAAATTTAATCAAGGTCTGATAAAAGGTTTTTGAGTTATTCTTAATAATTTATATTGAAGTCGGTTGTACAAAATTTTTAATTTTAATTTCTAGCTCCTATGAAGATCTACACTGGTACACAAAATCAATAGCTTCTCACAAAAGAACAGGCAAGAAACTAGTTTTTCTTTGTACTTAATGTCACAATTGAATTTACAATTACAACCTACAATAAAATAGTGTAATGTCTAAGGTAAATAAATATTCTTAAGATGTCCGTTTTAATGGAATAATACAAATTTTACGGATATATCCGTTTAACAGCACCCCTGGGTCATGGAAGTACAATCCCCTATGGTCACGGGAGTACCCTACGTGACCATAGGTGCTTTAAGGTGCCCGAAACGTCGAGAGTTAAAAAATATAAAATTAAACGCAATAGAATCCGTAAAATTGATTTTATTCCATGTGTAGTATTAGTCAGTTTTAACGAAATAATAACAGTAGCCAAGGGCACTTGCAAGTGCAGAGTAAGAGTTATTTACGTGCACCTTTTTTCTCAATATGTTGATCTAGACGGGACATGGATTGTATTTTCAGTGATGTTCGCGATGTTCGTGTTGCATTCGATCAACGATGGAATAAACCCTATCTCTCTCCATACCTACATAATATCCAAGCAAACGCGAAGATGTTATCTATATGTCTCAAATAACTGATTGCGTGTTTCTGTTTGGCCAAACTGGCCAAACTTATACAACGCCTCTAATTTTGTTAGAAAGCATGTTATGATACCGACATATATTTGAAAAACTATATAGCCGGAGTATAACTAAAATACATTTTTATTCAACAAATTAATTTTCGAGGAGTTTGTGGGTTGTTGTCGTCATTGCAGCATTTGTTCAAGGTATTGCAGAATCTTTGAATTTAGAATGCCAACCAACTTTCGAAGACCATCTTGCTAGAACTTTCAAGACCATCTTGCTAGTTGAACTAGAAAATATTAATTGTGTTGCAGAGATCCCAATATTAACTAGGAAAAGACCTATGTACATAGCCAAGGAGTGGAATGCGGAGTGGAATCGTTTTTGCGAGTGCGTATAACCTGAACCTCTTCAAGGTGCGTGTTAACAGTCTTCACCTGGGCAAACTCGCTTCATAGTAGACCTCATCTTTGCCCTCAGACCAGATGGAGGTTAAGAGTGAGTCCATTTTAATAAATAAAACCTAAAAATAAAATGATAAAAAGCATTGCTAACTTCAAATTACTAACTAGCTTTCAAATAAATAAAAAGATGCATTAATTTTTTTTGGTTCGGCAAACACCACAGATACAGGCTTCGCAGTTTAAACAACACCCTTTTTTGCGTCGGGGGATAAATTAATTGACAAACAATAGAATCAAGTGAAACAGAATGATTAATGACGCCTGTCAGTCCTGAGTACACCGTTATAGCACACGAGCCTCTAGTTGTTATAATAATTATGATTCTTGTATACGTGTGTTTGTTAGTCTAGGAGCGAATTTGATATTTTTTTTTGTGTGTTAATTAATCTAAACCATCCAGGGACCCATGGACTGTTTAGACTCATAATTGGACTAGGTAGGTGGCGCTGTTGTGGAGATCCAGAAAACGCCCGTGCAAAGCCGGGGCGGATCGCTAGTTGCTTGTAAATATTGTTGCTTAACGTTATTTTTTTATATAAAACGAAAATTACTATGAATTGCTTTTAGATATGGTAATAATACTTTTTAAAAGTAACTGGGCGAGTTTTTACACCGCACCCTTATCACTTAAGATAAGACGTCACAATATCTTCAGGTTCGTGTGGCAAGGCACGGCCCCGATTGTCCGATGAAGTGATATATTGTTAAAAATGTATAAATCATTTTGGACGTTATCCATTGTCTGCGCTAAACAATAACACCCTCGCCGCGAGGACTGAAAGCAACCGACGAAATCTGCATACTCACTGTTACTGATTCATACAAGTATGAGAACGTATGACGGAGCACACGGGTAACAATATAGCAATGTTCGCCAATAATCCGCACAAAATAGTTCAATAAATAAGGAGCTTTGTATCATTCACACATTTGTTAATTGTCAATTGTAGTTTTAAATGTTATCATTACAATTTTTTAAATTACTCGTTTCACTGGCATTAAGTGCTGTTTATTATTTTACATCACACTAAAACTCGTATGGTATGAAAAGCACATGATTAGAAAGAGGAAAAACTAATGAACAAGCCTGATGCTTTTTTTTAATTCAACAACACGTATTATTATAAAAAAAGTCCGATAAAAGAAATTATATTGTGGATGTCTTTAGTCTGTGGTTCATAAATTCTCTGTGTATCTCTCGAGAACTACTTAACAAAACGACCTTTATTTCACTATCTTGAGAATCATGTAGAACTGGTTCCTTTCGATAATCGCTTCTGTAATCCATTTAAAATTATTACATGAGCGTTTAGGGTGTACACTTTTGGATTTTCCAATTTATTTTTTTTTACTTTTACTATATGTATTTACACTAACAAAAATATGTTTTCAGGTTTGACCTAGCATCAAAATTATATGGCGTGGCCAGATCGTATCATAAAGTACTCGGCATTTACATGAAACGCAACTATTTCGTGATATAGGCAATTATTAACTGTCCATATCGTAAAAATGTCAATTTTTGTCGATTACACCATTCATTATTGGCTATATCATAAATACGAAAGCAACCATCTGTTGTTATCAGCAACGGCAGGTTAAGGTGCTGCTGGAAAATACCCTGCTATGAATCAAAAAGGTAACTTAAGTCCGAAAGATGAAATAAATATTTTTTGAAATTGTTCACTTTTTTAACCGACTTCAAAAAGGAGTAGGTAATCAATTCGACTGTATGTTTTTTTATGTGTGTTACCTTAACTTTTTTCTAGGTGAAGCGATTATGTGATTCTTTTTTTATTTGAAAGCTGATGGTTCTCATGTGGTCCCATATAAATTTGATCAAGGTCTGACCAGTAGTTTTTGAGTTAATAATTTATATTAAAGTCGGTTGTACAAAATGTTTAATTATTCCACTTGTTTTGCTAGCGTTATATCGTGACAATCATTTTTGAACGACAGCCAATTATGTGTAATTTAAACTTATGTACAAGTTTTATCAGTGTTACCATTTTATAACGTGCAAAGAAGTTATTCAAAGGCAAATAATGATAATATTCTCGGTTTGATTTCAGTTTGACAGGAGGTACTTATAGTGCCACATGTTTACGTGCAACTCACCGATCCTAACCTATTTGTACCCGCCATAGCTTTGAGCCATAAAATCAAAAGCAGTTTATGATGAAGTAGTAGAGATACGGGAACAATCAGGACACAATCAGAAACCCATACCAAATCTGTATTTTAGTTACTTCCGGCTGGGAAGCCAGGATCCTATATTGTCTTCATAAGCGCATCTGCATCTTTTCATTTCTGAAAAGAACTCATGTGTTGTTCTTGGAGCTATTGATAAAAATTGCAACGTCTAACCATTTTTAGAATTAATAGTGTTAAAAACAAACAAAGTTGTAATGAATTACCTGAAGATAGGACTGGATAGTGACGTCCGATGGGCGATCTGTGATGAGGAAGCGCATGTTCTTGTACTCTATGAGGGATGGCGCCGGCCTGATGTCCTTCTGCTTCATGATGACCACTTTTGCTCTTTCCAAACGATCGATAAGTATCTCACACCGAGGTGGTAGCTTCACTTCACACGCGTCAGACGAACGTGCAGAGATCCGGCACAGTCTAACAGGCAAATCGTCACTCTATTTCCACACAACACACTTCAGTTTCGTTGTTTTTATTTAGAAAGGGTCCAATTATATAATGAAAACCATCCGCATGGATGTCGCCTTCAAACGCTCGAGCACATTCGAAGACGAACAAACAAAGGTTCAAAATGGGGATTTAAAGCGATAAATTAACCACGTAACATAAGTTATGTTTTTCTATTCCGATTCAACTCCGGCAACTCGGTGATTTGCGCCGATTAGCAGCGGGATCCGAATTTAAGGTAACTGAAACAAGAATATTTAAAATATATTAATCTCATAAAAACGGACGAATAGATGCTTTGATTAATGCGCATTGGCATTTCGACGTTGTAATGCGCCAAAGTGATGGCGAAGATTGACTAGGTGTAAAATTGTTGTTTATAAAAATAGAGTACAAATCGCCAGAGTTGTTACGGTCACGTGAACGTCTCTATTTACTTGGGGAGGTGTTCGCAGACTGATCTACTGCCAGCTCCGCGTCACTCGTTAGCGCGCTCACACCGTCCCATCTCGACTCTTGTCCGTCGGTACACTTATGCGATAACAATATTGTAAACACAGTGCAACAGCACTCCCATTGTATGTGCTTGATAAATACAAGTCGTGATTACTTTGAACAATATTTAGACGTGTAATAATATCTAATTTGTTTGACTTGATCAGTATCAGATAAGTGCTTTGCCTATAAGAGCGAAGTCACACGATGTGTTTGGGCGGCGCTGCGTCTAAGTTAAGGCTTGAGTAGAGTATGCAATGTAGTGGCGCTTTCAGCATACATTTTTAACCATCCGCCAGTGAGAATACGATAATACAAGAAGCTAATGTTTATCTTATACGCTGGACGTCCTGCCCAGGCGAACGCTTCTCACTAAGCCTTATCCTAAAAGACAGTGTTGCGACGGTAGTGCTGTTAGTGAAACACCCAGTGTTTCTTTTTTACAATATATTGCAGCCGTTCGTTCGAGCCGTGTCGCACCCAATATAAAATGTTTGCGATTTGGAACCGCGTCAAATGCAACGCATCTTGCGGCAAGAAACCTCGATCTACGTATTACGCATAACGCGAATAAGTGAGCACATAATCTATGGGTACGAACCTGTGGGTGGGTGAACAGCATATAGTGAGCGGGTTGGGTATCAGCGCGCGCTCCCGGCAGCATGGGTCCAGTTGGTGGCACGCTCCGCTTCCTCGGTCGCACAATACGCCCTCAAGTTTATTTGTGTTGGGCCTGGCAGTACTCCGCGCTGTCCAAGCGGAACTCCATCAATGTCGCCACAGAAGAAATGCACAGCTGCAACAACAGACACAGCAATTACACATCGTTGTTTGCGTCGCCATTTCTAAATACGCATAAGCAGTTTATTGATAATTTTTTTAGTTTACAAGATAATTGGATGTTATTAGCCTACGATCTACTAACATTTAGTTATATATTATAAGGTTGGCGTCTTACAGAGAAATAGGTTCCACTATCAGTAGTCAACTTAATTAAACATTATCACGTTCCTAAAAAAAATTGTATCACGACAAGCTTCTAAAACTTGAGGCACCATGGTAAAGAGCGCGAGAAGCACTAAATTACACAAATCTCTGCCTAAACCAAAATCTGGCATTTTGAAACGAATGACCTGAATTCTCGTAAAAAAAAAAAACTATTTATTTATTGCATTCAGTCCGATATGCTCTGCTCACGAAAATTTATGAGAACTTCGCGCGACCGACTCGGGAAGACGGCGCAACAGATTTTGGCAACAGGGTCATCAACGCGGGACTTCACGGATCGCGTCATGTTTACATTTAAATATTTATTATTATGTTGACAGCTATAAGAGCCGCCATTGAACTAATCTATACATATAAATAAATTTAAAGTGTCCATCTGTACCTAATATTTAAATAACTAGCTTCTGTTAAGCTCAGGGGGTTATCTGAATGCTGTCGAGACATAAATAACCATTATTATAATTGGGATCTGTCTGTCTGTCTGTCCGGGCTAATCTTTGGAATGGCTGAAGCTATTATGATGATACTTAATTAACATTTAAAGAGCAACGCCATGAGGGATCTAGGTTATATTTTATCCGAAAAACTTAAAGAAGATTTTTTTTTAACTTGGGAAATAAGTAAATGGTCTTTTATTATCATTAATTGATTCAAGGGCAGCCGGAGCGGGTCGCTACTATGTTGATAAAACCCAAAACACTGGCAACTACATGAGCCGCCATTGGAGTCAGTACCTAGCTGGACAAATCGCGCGAATATTTATTTTTGTAACAAATTTTTAAGGAGCAACGTAAAGCGGAGTTGGGATTCTGCCAAGAGGAAAGTTAAATATTGTTGATGTTTGATCTTACGTCTCGACTTGATATATCCTAATATAGCTTTTTGTTTGTTTATATCTTTAATACATCTATGTCACCTACATCATATTCATATCACCCCGTGGGTGTCGTAACAGAGAGGCCACAGAAATAAAACAGGAATTCAGCAGTAGCATCATCCTGATAAAAACTGAAATTACGGTTGCCAACCAGACTGCACAGCGTGGCAACTATGGCAAATATCCCCTACGAGACGACGAGGACGATGCGATCGATGAGGAAGGTTGTTGTTGTTTATTGTTATTATTATTATTGTTCAGCCATAGATTTTGAAAGGTAGTGTAATGGTGATGATGCTGATGGTATTGATCACATGGTCTTGTTGATATAAAATGAAGTATCTTGCAAATTTCCCCAAAACAACTACAATTTCATTTGAAACTGCTTTAGCAATTTTATTTTTAGATTTTAGTACAAATTTTCGTAAAAGCAATTCCCGAACATTTCAAAGGCTAAAAATTTTCCTATAATTTGATTACCTATTATATATTATTACGTGGTAGAGCCATTCTGCAGCTATATTAGTAGTATAGTTGTAGCATGAATGGGTCGGCTCGACCGGGGAAGGACCACGCTCTCACAGAATACCAGCGTCAAATAAGCAGCTTCATGCTGCTGTGTTTCGTATGGAGAGTGTATAGAACCGGAGACCCTTTTTACTAGAAAAGAGGCATTCTATCTTAGTCCTCACGGGTGACAACGCATCTGCATTTTGATTCGCAAACGAGGATAAATCTAGATGTCTATGGGCCACAGCAACCACTTACCATCAGGTGGACTATGTGCTCGTTTGTCACCCTATCCTATAAAAAATAACTTCGCCGTTGTTGTTATATCGAATAATACTAGTAAATGTATAAGAGAAAGGCTGTTAGGTCTGTTGTTGAAACAGTCCATAGTAAACCCAACAAATATAACTAACATGAAAACATTTCGAGATATATTTTGCAGTTTTGTGAAGCAGTTCAGCGTTGCAGACAAAATAAGAATAAACGATAAGAAGCTGTCTCTAATAAAGTTGGGAAAGCTCTCTCTCTCTAACAAAGTGGGGTCGAGTCTGAGGACCAGAAGATTGTCCGAATCTCGACTAGACGCGACGGTCGATAAACTCCAGACTTAACATACACATGTGCAACAATGCAGACGTTTTCAACGGCTATAAAGACTGCTAAAGCACCGCGTATAGGTATTTCATTAGATAAAAGATCGCAGATAACTTTAAATTTACTTTAATATCAATATTAATATATATATATATATATTTACTAATTGTTATGATTGTTACATTATCTAAGTTTACCGTATAACTTAAAACCGTGTTCACAAATGGACCAAAAAATAGCTTCACGGATCTAAATAGATACATTCAAAGTACAAAATGTTTTGATGTACCTAGACTTATCAATCCAATAGGTTAGGCAATTGCGAATACAACATATCTTTCATAGTATATAATATACCAAAAAATACAGTCTTTACATAATTGCCCACTAAAGGAATAAATAGGCTTCATAAAACAATACATTTTAAATCTATGAATGTAAAATATCGTCTACTGCCCTTTAACTTTATTTATCATGTCTGCCCTTTTATTTACATAATAAAAGAACGTAAGGAAATAATGTTCATTAAATGTAATGTTAATGGGTAATAAAACTAGTATTCATTTTTGCATGACTAAATGGTGATTATTAGTTTCCAATCGTTTTGCCTGCCGAAGAAATTTGATTTGCCCGCCCAGGTTAGGCAAAACGGATAATAGCATGATTTTAAGAATTTAAAATAAAAGCTTTCAAATAAAAAAAAGAATCATCGAAATCGGTTCACGTAGAGAAAAATATGGGGTAACATACATAAAAAAAACATACAGTCGAATTGAGTACCTCCTCCTTTTTGAAGTCTAGAAAATAAATGGTATTTACTACAGAACATTTAATTTTTAAGTTGATTTTTGTTTACGTTTAAATCTTTAATAACTATTGTTTGTTATTATCAAATAATTGGTAAAAGAAGTTGATTTTCTATGCCTTTTTTATGTCAAACTTAACCTATTCTTATTCCCCGCCCGTCCCTTATATAAATTGTGTGACACATTTAATTTTACAAAAATTTCAATTGCTGTTGTACCTGTTCACCCTTTTGTCCATACTCGAATATTCCTGATCAAAAAAAAAAAAGTAAAATACAAGTAAAGAAGGGTAAAAACCAGCTCTATCCTAATCGGTTAGTGTCAAAAACTCTGATAGCTTTTTCTTATATTTTGGTTGAGAAAAAAACAGCCCTATAAACACCAGCGGCGACGTCTATTACAGTTTTTTTTTGTAGTCATACGTCATTGACCGTTAGTCTTGAAATTGACACACGTATATAGTCATCAAAAGAGAAATGGTGCAATGATCTTATCTTGGGCTGACGTGCGCCGAGACTTCAATGCTGAAGTGAGGAATGATCTTTCGCTTCCTGCCTGATGGAGGCGCTGTTTGGAT